GCTGTATGAGAGCATGATCTCTGAACTCACTAAAATCTGTTAACCAAACATTATAGATTTAGAGACGAACTGATCCGCTGTGTTACAACTATCAAAAACATTAGAAATGAGAAAGCTGACAAAACTACAGCAGAGTATCAGGACAACATTGAGGTTTTTTTTTTCTTTTAAGATTTAGAGATTAAAGTTGTAAATTTAGGAGAATAAAGTCATAAAGTAAATAAAGTCATAAAGCTGCTTTTGCGGAGGGGGAAATGACTGAAGCTGGTCATCTGCAGGGTTATCTGTGGATGTATCAGCGGGTCATTAAGAGAGATTTTGTGGTTTCTGAAGAAACAATCAAACTGATGATAATCAACATTTGTGATCCAGAGGGAGTCGAGCTCCGACGAGCACCACGTCTCTGACACCAGCCGTAGCCTACACCTGCAGAGACACCAAACCCTTATTATGGCATATGGATTCATATCATAAACTAAAGCTCAATGTCATTCACGGATATTAACGGCTGCATTGACAGATATATCCTCAGCATATTCATTTCTGCCTCCACAAAAGCAGCGATTTCCTTCAAGTACACCAATATTTTTCCCCGTGGAAAAGACGTATTTCTCATATATTCTTTTTAAAGTCTTTATACTTATGACAATGTGATGCTGATGTGCCAGAGGATGAAGAATCTCCTTGTTTGTGAAACCTATACTGAAGCACAGTTCCTTCAAATGCTTCATGGCCCTAATTTTAACAAGTCTCTCTGAAATAACAGGTTATGACTTCATTCTCATAAATTAATGACTTTATTCTCGTAAATTCACGACTTAAATCTCGAAGTCCTTAAAGTCTTAAATCTCAATATGGCCCTCATACTCCTTCTTACAAAACAATCATTGGATGAATTGTGCTTGTATGTATCTACTATTTTGTGTCTGTGCAAGGTCGCACAATTAAAACAATAAATGCTGCACTCCGCGGGTTTCCTTTAAGTCAGTCGTGACGCGAGCCTGAGGGCGGGGACATTTGGCAACTCCACCAGGAAGTCCTCCGAAGGTCTCCAAATGTCCCCACCCTCAGGCTTACGTCACGACTGATTAGAAAAAAAGCTGCGGAGCGCAGCATGTATTGTTTTAATTGTGCGACCTTGCACAGAAACAAAATAGTAGATACATACAAGCCCAGATCATTCCCACAAAATTAATCCAATGATTGTTTTGTATGAAGGAGTATGAGGGCCCTATTGAGAAGGAGGATAGGAGATACTTCATCCTCTGGCACATCAGCATCACATTGTCATAAGTATAGAGACTTAAAAAAAGAATATATGAGAAATACGTCTTTTCCACGGGGAAAAAAACTGGTGTACTTGAAGGAAATCGCTGCTTTTGTGGAGGCAGAAATGAATATGCTGAGGATATATCTGTCAATGCAGCCGTAAATATCCGTGAATGACATTGAGCTTTAATTTATGATATGAATCCATATGCCATAATAAGGGTTTGGTGTCTCTGCAGGTGTAGGCTACGGCCGGTGTCAGAGATGTGGTGCTCGTCGGAGCTCGACTCCCTCTGGATCACAAATGTTGATCATCATCAGTTTGATTGTTTCTTCAGAAACCACAAAATCTCTCTGAATGACCCGCTGATACATCCACAGATAACCCTGCAGATGACCAGCTTCAGTCATTTCCCCCTCCACAAAAGCAGCTTTATGACTTTATATACTTTATGACTTTATTCTCCTAAATTTACAACTTTAATCTCTAAATCTTAAAAGAAAAAAACCTCAATGTTGTCCTGATACTCTGCTGTAGTTTTGTCAGCTTTCTTATTTCTAATGTTTTTGATAGTTGTAGCAGAGCGGATAAGTTTGTCTCTAAATCTATAATGTTTGGTTTACAGATTTTAGTGAGTTCAGAGATCATGCTCTCATACAGCCTGAGCTGACTGTCTGCTGTTTTTGGATTGCTTGTAATTTCTTTGAAGACGCGCTGCGTCTCCAAGCGAGTCCAGCCTCTCACCTGAAATGCGCAGCTGTGCAGCGGCACGCAAAGGATTCTGGGATACCGACGGCACGAAAGCGTGGATAAATGCACGCTTGAAAACATGCTAAGCGCGCTTAGCATTTTTTAGCATCTCGTGCCAAACGGGACACCGTTCGCACCGTCGTGACGTCATGCACACTTCAAATGCACCGTTCGACGGTGCAGAAGGGCACTTAGGTCGATGCGGTCTCTGAAATGAGACACAGCCCAGGTATCAACCTGAAATCACACATTAAATGAGTCACAACAAGGAAAAAAAAAACAAATCTCAACAGGTCACATTCATATACAACACTGACCATGTAGCATAAACAAGTGGACTCCCCTTTTTTTTTATTATTATTATTATTTCATTTTATTTATTTTTTTATTTTTTTATTATTATTATTATTATTATTATTTATTTATTTATTTTATTATTATTATTTTTTTTTTTAACGTGGCAGCCACAGGTCTCTACATCCCGCACAGAAAACAAAGTCCACAAACCAGGGCTGAGATCACAACCAAACTCACGATATCCAGCGAAGGGGCAAACCACACGTGGAGAAGTAGCATGAAGCAGCAGAGGGGTTTCTCGTCCAGCGTCGGCGTCACCATAAAGACGAACGGGTCACGGCACCATTGTAGCGGTCGTACTTGTGTTGTGTGATTAATTCCGTAGAGAAACCAGACTTCTGTGTTAGAATCGATGTTTATTCAATACCTGGTAGAAAATTATCATGGTCAGGTCTCACATCAGACATGCGGTCTCTCTCTCACCAGCGAGCAGCTCAGCACAACTGTGCTAACAATATAAATTCAAACTCTATACCTGGTAGAAAATTATCATGGTCAGGTCTCACATCAGACATGCGGTCTCTCTCTCACTGCAAGTATAAAATAACAACATAAGTACCCTCTTAAATAAGGAAATTAAAAGATAATTAAAACAAATAATCCCGGAGATCGGACATGTGGACTTACCCAGCGAGCAGCTCAGCACAACTGTGCTGCTAGACTGGGGTTCACTCCCCAAATCTCCAGGGGTTGATGCATTCGAGGGCTGTCGGGAATCTAAACATTCTTAAAATAACCTAACGTAAGGCATGGCAAGTGAAATCATTAAATATTAATTATAACTACGTTACATATGCATGCATATAAAACAGGCTGCAGGCTTTGGGAGGCCATGTAAACATGTGGAAGTGCAGGGGGCCCTCAGAACACAATCAGACTGCCAAATCTAACAAATTCATGCAAGTCATTAATCCTGACTTAAGTGTGAGCCGCCTTACAAAAAAGCTCCTTAAGACCACAGTCTTTGGGGACCCAGCTTTACCTCATCCTAATTTCACTGAGCAGGCAGAGGTTATGTGTCGCAGTCAATAGTTTCAATCCACCACCTGGGGGGTATTCCATCAAGCTCGCTTAGCTCAAAGTCTGGCTTAAATGGCCAAGTCTCGCTTATTTTAGTGAGAGTTGGGTTTCACCAATGTGGCTAAGATTAGCTCCAAATTGGTAACCATGGAAACATGGTTCTGGCTAAGCCGGACACTTGGAGCTAAGCTCTGACTTTCTGTTCCATCAACCTGAGCCTCAATTCTGTTCCATCAAAGTGGTTAACATGAATGCCAGCCTTGTAACCATGGTGACTTATGCTGCCGGCCAAACCTGGTCTGGAGCAGGATTAAGGTGAAGATTAACTCCACTAATGTCCAAAAAATGTCCAAAAGACATGTCTGTTTTGCATTTACATACACAATGCACTGATAAAATAATTTGTGAAACCAAAACATGCTTTTCATCCACTTTGTAAACTAAGCAAAAAGTGCATTTGGTAAGTATTATGATTTTGTAAAAACTAAAAATCAATCCGTTTTCATTTATCTTGATTGCATCCTTATAGATAAAGATGAATAAAATAAAATAAATTAAAATAAATAACAATGAATAAATTTAAAGGTATGATTAAAACACATAGAGGAAGCCTACATCAGTCACCTAAAATGTCCTCCAATCGACTGCACCTGAGAGTCAATGATGGCAAGGTGTAGACCATTAAGCAGAGCAGTCAAGACAGGCAGGGGGACACACATTCAGCAGAGACAAAGACTAAGAGAACATGGCATGTCCATTCATTGAGGATGAGGAGCCAATTAATGAAAGGGCACAAATAATTCAAAGGGCCTTCTTCAGGCGATCACCAGCCCCGAGGGTCTTCCAGGAGAGGACTAACCCACTGGAACAAAGTGATTATTTCCTGTGGGAGAGGTATCGATTCAGCCGGCAAAGCATAGTGTATTTATGCACTTTGCTGGAGCCACACATAAGGAAGGTCACTCGCCGCAGCCAATCACTGACCCCTGTGCAATCTGTATGTATTGCACTGCGGTTCTTCGCCAGCAGTACATTTCTGTATAGTGTTGGAGATGCTGAGGGACTAAGTAAGGCAACTGTTTGCAGAGAGGTAGGCCTACTTAGATCAATTGGATTATTTCTTACATCACCAAACATCATACATAGGTTGCAAGATGATCACATGACATGGATATGAATTAATAAATGAACAAAAAAAACCATTTATTACAGGTAAGAGCAGTCTGTCTTGCCCTTAAAGAGTTTCTCAATATCTTCATCACCTTCCGAAGCCATCATGGGATACAAAGGATCAAAGAGGGTTTTTATGCAATTGCAGGTATATGACATTTAAATGCATGCAATGTGAAGTTAAATGGTCCACAGGTTGACATATGGCACTTTTATCCTCTCACATAGGCTTTCCCAATGTCCTTGGCTGCATTGACTGCACGCATATCCAGATCCAGGCCCCACCTGGACCTGTGGAAAGGGACTTTGTGGATCGAAGGAATAACCACAGCCTGAATGTGCAGGTACATAGCCTATGGAGCTACTGTACATGTCCCACTGCTAGTGTCCAGTGTCACTGATGTCACCCTGCATCCTGACAGATGATCTGTGATTCGGAGTTGCTCATCACAAACATTGAGGCCAAATGGCCTGGCGGTGTCCATGATGCTAGGATACTAAGGGAAAGCCATCTGGCACAAAGGCTTGCACAAGGTAAGACAACCTTCATCATGTCTCAACACTAGTATGGATGAGGGTCTGCAAAGATGAATGAATGAATCATGTAATTCATAGCCACTGTTTTCTCACCTTGCAGGGGGGTTTGAGGGGGTCCTTCTCCGGGACAGGGGTTATCCCTGCCTCCCAAACCTTTTAACCCCATATCCTGAGCCAAGGGCTGCAGCTGAGGCAGCATTTAATAATGCCCTCAGCACCACCAGGGCACGAATTGAGATGGTTTTTGGCCTGCTCAAGTCCAGGTTAAAGGCTGCTTTGATCAACCTTTAATGCAGAAAATATCTTTGTACAAAATTTTATTTTAACATGTCATCTTGTTCCAATCTCTGCAGGTTCCAGTGCCTAAAATATCTGAGGCAGGCTCCTGACCGGGCCTGCGACATAGTGGTTGCGTGCGCAGTACTCCACAACATAGCCACCATCCGGAGGGAGAGGCTTCCACAGCTTCTCCCCGAAGACAGATGGGAAGAGCCTGCCCCTGTACAGGGACCCAGAGATGGGAGGATCCTGAGGAATCTGTACAGGGACACCTATTTCTCTTGAACCCAACCCCCCTATTTTGTTAAATTCCTTGTCATGTCCATTTATTTGGCCTAGCCACTTTTTTCTCCCACCCCACATTGTAGAGGCAAGGCACATTTATTTGTATGGCCCATTTTCACAAGCAGTATGACACAAAGGGCTTTACATATCAACATAACATCCTCTACCCTTAGACCCTCACTGAAACAAGACAGAATGACAAGACAAAATGGCTTTTGAATATTTATTGTCCTGAGTCACCAAGCTGGGGAGACAGAATGTTACAGAATTAAATACTGTAAAAACAATGACCGTATTCTCTCTGCCTGGATTCATACTTACATCCTTTTCCATCTTGTTGATTTCAAGTTTATATTTTTTTATCTGCAGGTGTTTGTGTTGGATCTGCAGCTTGAGGTACCTTTTGTAGAGTGCCTTCACATCATATGATCAGAAAATGTGTCAGAGTGCAGCCAAAATGCAGCTAATGGTGATTTTGAAAACAGGAAAAAGAAAAGAATGGTAACTCACTTCACTCCTTCCGGTTGAGGATGGGGTAGTCTGCTGCAGCAGGGTTTGATTTATTAATTTTGACAATGCAAACAACATGAATAATATTTAACATTCAGGCTTACATCTTGGAGTACAGTGTCTTCTACAGATAGAGTCTCCTCTTCATCTCTGTCCTGGTGATTCTGATGACTAGGTCCTTCACCCTGCAAATGGAGGAATATCAATTATTTGAGCAGGTGTAGGAGGCTAGACAGCATTTCATTTACAGGTTGGGACTTACAGGGTCCTGGGGGCCCTGCTGCAACTTCCGGGGGTTCTAATACAGTTATTTGTCCCTCTGTTACTAATAGAAAAAACATGTTAACAGTCAGCTAAATCAACTGAGGGGCTGTCGCCATGCAGCGGAGGGATAGTGGTTGACAGTACAGTACCCTCAACAAATGTGGCCCGTATCGCTGGATCAATAGGAGAGGAAGCTCTCCCCCCCTGAATACCATCAATTTTGGGGCCCTTGTTGTAGCTGAGGGCTAGGAATTTGGCCTGTGTAAATTCCTCAGGTGGTGGTCCCCCACCAGTAGCTCCCAGTTGAGCTTTTTTCTTGGTTGCTGCAAGGAACACAGTCACAGCTTTACAGTTATATTTACTAATACATTTCACATTATTACAATTATTATGCATCACGGACCATTTGTAAGGATGTTTTTATATTTTATTTTGACCTGTTGCCAGGTGCGTCTCTGGCCTCCGAGGTTGCTTCCGTTTGGACAGTAAAAGGAGGTTAATAAAAGACACAGTGAATGCTGAGTGAGTTTTAGTTAGTTCCTCATCCTACTGCACAGACATGAAGGTAAAATGAAGGAATTAGCTCCTTTTTATGCAACAAGAGAATCAATTAACCCCTGCAAACATTTAAACAGCGCTCCTCTGAATAGGGGGAATTAGGTAATTGAGATAAGACATGATCAATTGTGTGATAAATGTTTTGCATATAAAACAATTTGATTATAGCCACTTCAACTCAGATTATAAATCTGATTAAATCACTATCTGTAGCCTACAACTTGTCTTGTAGTGAATTTCTTTAATTTTACAGCCTGAATTACAATTCTGTTATGTCAAACAGGTTGTATCATTAACATTGAGATGGGATTATCATCTGAAATAATGTATGGATGAAACATCACTTACGCATTCAGCCTGTCGGCAATTGTCTTCCATGCTGCCTCTCTGGCTTTGTTTATTTGAGCGGTGTTACCTTTTTTAGTTATGATGTCCCGGTAATCATCATATAATTCCATAAGGAGGTTTTGTTCAGCAGCAGAGAAACTTCCTGCCCGTGGTTTTGCAGCATTCTGAGCCATTTTGCAACACTTTCAGCACTCGACTTGTTGGGTCTTTTTATATTCCGCGGGGAGGCACTCAGTTTGAGGCTTAACAGGTGAGGCTTCAATTAGCGTCAAGTGGAGCCAGCTGATCTCGTTTGATGGAACGGGTTGGGGCTTGGTTTGGAGTTGCCGTTAATTCAAGCTTCAAGATTACACCATAGTCCCGATTTTCTTAGCGACTTTGATGGAATACCCCCCTGGTATACTGTTTATTTAATGAGCTTGTTTTATAGTCACCGCTCATGTTAATGGTAGACCTGTAACTTTGACTTTAATTTACCATAAATCAAACTCAGGTCAGTCGATTATCACCATGCAGTTCCTGTAAATAGTTCACTGTCCATGGTCTCCCACTCTGTAACCAACATCTGTAGGTACTGTTGTTGTCTGTCCATCTTTCTCTCCCTGTCCCTCTTCCTCTTTAAACCCAGCTCACTCTCAGCAAATGACTGTCTAACATCAGTCTGGTTCTGCTTGAGGTTCCTGCGTGTCAAAGGAAGTTCTTCCCCTCCAATGTACAACACGAGAAGCAAAATCCAAACAAAAGGCACTGGGAAAAAACCACCAGGAGACAAAGGATTTATGGATGAAAGATCAAAGGCAGCAGGCTGACTTGAACACACATCAACAAACAATGAACCAACCAAGACAAAGTGGAAGACAGGGACTATATACACACTGTGAGATGAGCAACAGATGAGGCAGACGAGACACAGATGAGACTCATGGGTGGTCAACAAAGGAGGGAAAACTAGGGAAGTAAAATCAAGAAACACAAGGGGCTCTATTTTCGTGCGCGCCGGTGAGGTGACGGAGGGTGGCGGACCCCGTGCAGTTGTATTTTCGTCTGGCGGAGCCCGGCGTACAGCCAGTTTGGTATTTTCGTGGACTGAGGCGCACAGAGGCGAGCCGATATCTGCCAAGTTGGGCGTGGTGGCATGGCAGGGGGAGGTGTCGACAGAATCAGCGGGCACAGTGACATTTTCGTGCTCGCCACGGGTGTGTAAAGTGCGCTGAAAGCTCGCCGATTCAAACCTGGTCAGCTTTCAGCGCAGGCGGAACACAGCTGGTCTAGTAGTATTTTGGTAGACCGGCGGCGTATCGGCATACGTCACTGATGACTCACCGGCAGGTTTCCACAGTGTCAGGCACATTTCAGTGCAATAAATAATCATCAACAACTAATAATCTTAGTTAGCACATACATTTAGATCTATATCGATATATTCTGATCTATATCTGATCTGATGAGCGCGTTTGGCACGCATTTGGACACACAGCCTGACCGAATCAACACAGCTGAAACCGCATTAAATTAAATTAAATATCTAGTAAATAAACACACATGATGAAGTTAACAAGACGTAATTCGTCTCCCTCCTTTTCTTTCTTCCCCTTCCTCTTATTTCTCGCACAGCTCGACCTGGACACGTCTCCGTGTCCTCTCTCGGTCCTGCAGCGGCTGAACAGATTATTTGTTTCAGTGCTCAGATGAGTTATTTACTTTAAGCCGACATACGGATATTATAATATTCAGTTTTGTGAGGCAAATTTATTTTGTATGCCAACATCTATGAAAGAAAGAGCCAGGCCACGGAGCGCGATGCGTCATTTACGCACAGATGGTTCCAATTTTAATGCCATTTTTGGAGTTTATGTTATGATCTGTGCACACAACCCACCTTTGTCACGTGAGGTTTGAATATATGCAACTTTATGTGAGTGTCTTTATTTGTGGAAAAGGGTGTTTGTCTTACCAGTGGGTCCAACATTACACACACCAAATCCATCTGTGCTCATATGAGAGAGTGTGGAGGACGCCCAATGCAGCGCTTAAAGTGACACTTGTTGAGGAGCTGCCCTTTGTCGCCATCGTGTGGCATTACTGTCTTCAGACATCTCTTGATCTCTTTGACTACTTCATGAAAATAGTAATACGCCTCGCCTCTGGCGGATTTAAAGGCAAGGAGAGGAGCTTATGTGATTGGTGAAAACAGGTCTCGGCTGTGTTATACCCACTCCATGCCCTTTCTTCTCCTCCGCTACAACTTACGCCGCTGGGAGGAGCTGAGTAAGGGAGGGGGGATACTTACGCCTGGCTGCACTGCTCACCAAAATACCAAATTGTGCTTGGGAACGCCTTGTCGGCGCGGCGGACCTGACTTACGCTGCGCCTGCGGCACGTCTCCAGCGAGGCACGAAAATAGAGCCCAAGGAATCAACTATCAATCAATCAATCAAATTTTATTTATATAGCGCCAATTCACAACAGTCGTCATCCCAAGACGCTTTTTCAAAGAACAAGAGCAGGTCTAGACTAGGCTAGGCTCATTGTTTGATGAATTGTCAAGACCCAACCTAAGATGGGTTTTGGCCCATCTCATCTAACATGACTAACAGTGGCAAGAAAAAGCTTCCTTTCAACAGGCTGAAACCTTGAGCAGGACCCGACTCATGCCAGACAGCCACCATGACACTGCTGGGTTGGGGAGGAATACAGAGATATAGAGGGAGAGAGAGAGAGATAGAGAACAAGATAGGGGAAGGAGAGAGAGAATGAGTAAGGGAGAGGGAGGGGGAGGGAGAGAGAGTAGAGAACAAGGGTGAGAGAGAGAGATAGGGGACAGCAGCAACATTAAACAACAGTAACAACAGCAACAACAGCTCATGTAATGGTGAAACAAAATGAATTCAGTTTACAGGGTTAGGATATGGGTAATTATGGACTATGTTAAATTAATTTAATGTGATTGCAGTCAGCAGGCCTAATAGTAGTTAACTCTAGTTTTTTGTTATTAATGTCAGTGAAGCTGATGTTCATGTCTGCAGTAACAGTCCAGAGGAACCCAAGGGAAGAAGGAGCTTAGGGCCTGAGGCGGACAATCATAGACGATGCGGCTAGAGTCAGGCAGGTCTGCAGCAGCCAACCGTCTGTGGCATCAGTCCAGAGCAAACTAGAAGACTGGGGGCTCAGAGACATACAGAGAAATCTGGTTAGCAATTTGACGGGAGAAAATGTCTTCAATGTACAGGATAATAAAGCAAATAATTATGGACTATGTTAAATCAATTTAAGGTGATTAAAGTTAAAACTCAATGGCAGTTTACTCTAGTTTTATTTTATAGATGTCAGTTAGGCTGACGTACGTGTCTGCAGCAACCGTCCAGAGGAGCCTAAGAGATGGAGGAGCTCAGGGCCTGAGGTGGACAACTACTACAAAATAAAACAGGAAGTACTGAAAACTGATCTGAAGAATAAATCACAGATAACAGGAGGGAAACAGGGTCAGACACAAACTTCAAACTCACAAGACTGGACTACAGGGGAACAAGACTACAGGGGAACAGGACTACAAGGGAACAGGAACACTAGGTAACACAAAGAAA